GGCAAAGGAGAGGCAAACTGGGCAAACTGGGGGCTGCACATCCCAACTGGGCCTTGCTGGGGACCCTGCCTGGGCACTGCCAGCCCTTGGGGCTGCTCTCGGCACATCCGCCGGGGGGGAACGCACGCAGGGCTGGGGGATCCCAGCAGTGGCAGCACTGCCAGGGACTGGGCTGCACTGGGATCGTACTGGGAGTGACTGGGACAGTACTGGGTTTGTATGGACATCATACTGGGACCATACTGGGAGAGACTGGAAGCAACTGGGATTATACTGGGACCACACTGGGAGTGCTGGCATGTGACTGGGATCAAACTGGAGCTTACTGGGACCATATTGTTGTTGAAAGGGAGACACTGGGATGACACTTTGGGCTACTGGGAGCAACTGAGAGAAACTGGGATGATGCTGCAAGGAAACTGGAGGAACTGGGAATGACTGGATGCACACTGGTGGCAACTGGAATATTCTGGGCATGACTGGGGGATCATACTGGGATAAAAAGCACCTTACTGGGGCCACTGGCAGTGCCTGGAAATGACTACAGACATACTGGGGGCAACTGGGATATACTGGGAGTGTCTGGAACCATACTGAGGGGACTGGAACCACACTGGGAACAACTGGGACCATGCTGGGGAGAACTGGGACCATACTGGGGTAAACTGGGAGTGAGTGGGACCATGCTGGGAGGGAATGGGATCATCTGGGGAGTGACTGGGACTAGAGCAGGGACAACTGGGTGCTACTGGCACCACACTGGGAGGAACAGGGAGCAAGTGGAACCATGCTGGGGGCTATTGGGATCTACTGGGATCACCATGAAAACAGCTGGGCCCACTCTGGGGGAGAATGGGATCATACTGGGTCACACTTTCAGAGCCTGCCCCAGCCAGGGCCCGGCACACATGCAGGTTTCTGTAGGGCCCCGGCCAGGGCACACAGGCTGGGATGGGCTCTGTGAGCGCTGGCAGGGACAAGGCTCCTCTCAGGAGGGAATGTCCAGGCCCAGGGAGATGCTCAGGGAAGGAGAGGG